GCTGGGACTCGTGAGACATGGTTGGCCTCAGCACACTGACGACTTGCGCCTAAAACCTTTCTTTAATCGTCGCTTCGAATTGTCTATCGAGCAGGATTGTTTGCTGTGGGGAGTACGGGTTATCATTCCTACACGGTACCAGAATGATATGTTGGAGGAATTACATACAGGGCACCCGGGCATCGTCCGTATGAAAGAGTTAGCTCGTAGCTATATATGGTGGCCTAACATTGATCTGGAAATTGAGCAGACGGTGAGAAGCTGTGGTAGTTGCCAACGGGTTCGGAAATCACCCGCTGTGGCTCCACTTGTGCCATGGTTGTGGCCTAGCAACCCCTGGCACCGTATTCACATTGACTTTGCTGAGTACGAAAAGAAACATTATCTCATTGTTGTTGACGCGCATTCTCGTTGGCCCGAGATTTTCTACATGCCTCAAAACACGACAGCAACAGCGACAATCGCGATCTTACAGGAACTATTTGCCAGATACGGAATACCAATTCACTGCGTTAGCGATAACGGGCCGCAGTTTCGCAGTGAAGAATTTGCTCATTTCCTAAAAGTGAACGGTGTGAAACACGTACGGGTAGCACCTTATCACGCAGCGAGCAATGGGTTAGCGGAGCGTATGGTGCAATCGTTCAAGAACCACCTAAAGGCTTGCAAGGGCAGCAAACTTTCCATTCTGCAACGTATTGCGAACTTCCTCTTATCCTATCGGTCATCAAGACACCCCACGACTGGCAGAACACCCACCAGCCTGTTCCTGGGTCGCGAACTACGAACGCGGCTAACTCTCCTCTGCCCAAACTTAGAAGAGAAGGTCATGGATTCCCAAGCAAAGCAGAAGGCCACGCACGACGAACATGCCCCGGGGACAGAGTTTCAGTGAAAGACCTCAGAAAAGAGGACACCTGGTGGCAAGGCTCGATAGCTGAGCGAAGTGGACCCAAGTCATACAGTATTAAATGACGGCAGAGTGTGGAAACGTCACGTCGATCACATGAGACGGGACGGCATGGGCAGGTCGGCATCAGAACCAGGTGGAGAGAGGAGTATCAGGACCAGTCCTTCACAATCGTGAATGAGGCTACGAACATTTCATCATGTGACTATTGCACAGTGAAACTGAGTTCTAGTCTGTTGTAATTAATTTATTTGTCTATCTATTGTTATCACTGTTATTTGTGTTGTTAGTGTAATTATTGTGGAATATTGATTTTATTGTTATTGGTGTTTTTTTTTGTTTGTTTGTTTTTTGTTTTTTTGTTTTTGTTTTTTTTGGTAAGTTTTTATATATAACAGCTTTATTGTAATCGTAATCGTAATTCACATTACATTACATTACATTACAATTGGGTTATAGAGGGAGGAACTTAATCCCCATATTAACTATACCCCATATTATAATTATAATAAATTACATATATCTATACAAATACTTTAATAATACATGCATGCGTAAGAATTTTAAAAATATGCTATTAATATATAAATCATTTAAAATAGACTTTTTTCAATGCTTTTTAAAAGCTATTTACAGATTCACGATCTACGACAGATGATGGTAGCTTATTCCAACAATCAATATATCTGTTCCAGAAAGAATATTTAAATACATCCGTGCAAAAAAAAGGCTTGTAAAGTTTATGAGTGGGAGTTTCTAGATTTTCTTTTACTGAGAGACATAGTATCATTAATGTTTCCAGGAGAATATCCCTTTATAAACTTAAAAAGCTGGAATAAGTCCAGGAATTCTCTACGATGAGCAAGTTTTTAAGTTTGTTTTTCTTTGTTTGTCTACTTTGGTGTTGTTGTTTTATCAGTTTTACTTTAGCGTCGTTGTTGTGAACCTAGATACCAGGTTATTGCTCGTGCAACGTTATGTGCTCGTGCAACGTTATATGACGTGGTCTGAGATTTGAAATTTCAAAAAAGAAACAACAACTTAGAGTTTAAATTTACAAGACACGTTTCGACATTCTCATGTCATCTTCAGTTGCAAATGAGCATTTAACTGTTGTACATTTGAATTCAAATTAAGGTACGTTACAAACTACGTGTCAGGGCTTACGTTACAGTTGAATGTTAAAAACGCGAACGATGTAAATAGCGCGTACTTGACTAGATCAAAAAATAAATAGATAAATAAAAAAATAATAAATGTAATAATAATAAAAATAAATTAAAAGACCAAGGAACAACATGATTAAAAGGAAAGAGACAATTCTAGATGTTTCAATTGCTGATTAACATCTAGAATTGTCTCTTTCCTTTTAATTATGTTGTTCCTTGGTCTTTTAATTTATTTTTATTATTATTACATTTATTATTTTTTTATTTATCTATTTATTTTTTGATCTAGTCAAGTACGCGCTATTTACATCGTTCGCGTTTTTAACATTCAACTGTAACGTAAGCCCTGACACGTAGTTTGTAACGTACCTTAATTTAAATTCAAATGTACAACGGTTAAATGCTCATTTGCAACTGAAGATGACATGAGCATGTCGAAACATGTCTTGTAAATTTAAACTCAAAGTTGTTTCTTTTTTGAGAGTTATTGTCACTCTGCTGTCTTTACGTCGATTTGAAATTTCTAACGAAACAACGAAACGAAACATCGCATACAACTGAAGAGGTCTGTGGACGAAACTAGTTTTGTAGTAGGCGTGTTTTAAAGTGCGTTGAAAGTTTCCAACAGTCCCAGACCCTCGCGCAACTCGTTCCAGACCTCGCCAGCGAAGTCGTTTCCAGAATGGCCGCCATAAAACAAACCAAACTACCAGAGAAAGGCTCACCTTTACATGATTATGTCATATCACTGTACCTTGCAATGGTAACACCTGTTAGCTTCTTAAAAAATCTTGCCACAGTTAGTAAAACTGGCCCCAGTGCTTGACAATAACCACACCATGGAGAATAGTACAGCAAGAAAACGTCCTGCCACATAAGTTTGAAAGAAAGATGCTTCAGAAACTATACCATTTTTCAATCCATCATCATAAGAAGAGTAATGTGAACTGTGAAATTATGACACTTTCCGCAATTTGAGAAACGTTAACCTCTCAAAAAAAAACAAAACAAAAAAATAATAATACTAAGATAAAATGCTCCAAAAAGTGGACTGAGGACGCCGATATTTTGATTCTCATCTAGCAACCTGGCCACAAACATGAACAAAGCAGTCTCGTCCTTCTATATTTCAACCATCAACTTACAGCGACACAAACGAGGCATTGATGGCTTGAGAAAGACTTTTTTATAATAACCAGAGCGGCAGCTGCTTATGAGCCGCGTATTTAGGTCTTGCTTTCCTTAGCATATTCAAAGCCGATACTGGAAGGGCTATATTATTTTTTGAGTCTCAAAATGAATCGAGTAGTAAATTTCAGTGAAGACTTATTAATGGACAACAATAATGTGGTTTCAGGAGCATACCGAAAATGTTGAAATTGTCTTCTCTGTAACTTAGTGAATATGTTCACCTCACGCATTGTACCACTATCAGATTTTGTTCGTAATACTTTCAATCAATAACTTATACATAACAGCAGACAGGCATAGGCTACTCCCAAGAGAACAGGAATAATCGAATTCAATTTTCCTTGTCTAATCTGAAGTAACCAGTTCTGTAATTGTCAATCCTGTTCGCTTGTTGCTAAGTTTTACTTTACGCATTAAGGTGATTCCTCAGAAAATTAAAAAAAACGGTTTTTGAAGTAACACTTGAAAAAAAACTTCATAGGCAGAACTTCTCGAGCGTATGGAACAAATTGATAAATAATTTATGTAAAAATCACGAAATTTTTAAACGACATCGACTGAAAACTTTCTTCGAGTCGTTGCTTTCCAGGTTAATTTGCACCTTTGAGTAACGGGCTTTCTGCTTCTCTAAAGAGCAACTAAAAGTACCAGAGCAATCTACTCAGCCTTAGGAAATGGTAAGATCTGATATCTAATCGAAATCTTCATAGAATAAACGGCATTTTGGTTCACCGCAGGTTAAATTAAATATATTCTTTGAAAAATTTGAATTTGGTTCACACATGAAGAAAGGGGTCGATGAATCTATTTTTGACAACGTATATCATGAGTAAAGGAACAAAGGAAGATTAAAGGGGATGCAACACTTTAAAAGACCATAAAAAGTTAAATTACTTCTGATTAAAACGTTCAGTTGTGTACAATCAGTAATTCTTAAAAGGTGCTGGCTCTCCGGCTTCACGTAATTAAAAATTGCTTTGTTATATTATTCATTCAACTTCGATGAACATGACTTCTTCTCACGCTCTACCAACCTTGGTTTCATCCAACACCACTTCATTAAAATTTGACGCCACAACCTCGACTACGCAGGCTTGTGATTGTGGACAGCCATGAGAAGTAACATGAGCAGATCTTAAACGTCTCGTTAGATTTCCCGCCATGTAAGCCATGATAAACTCAACTGCAAAGAGAATTGTTTGTGTGATTTTCTTCATGCTCATATCATTCATTTGCAAAGTGTAGTGGGGGAGATATAGAGCCCAATAATTCCTTTTACTATCGAAGGGAATACCAACTGCTTGTTCCACTGGCAAAAAATAGGCAACTGAAACAAATATACAAATACTGAAACACACTACACATAATCAAAGTAAACCATCGTCACATATGACACGCAGAAATAAATTTAAGGTGACACTACAATCTTGTGAGCCTTCCCAGAATCAAGCAGTCATTTTACGAGCCAATGCGCCAACACGATATCGAGAGGTAGCCGATCCAGCCACTGCGAGGGATTGTTCTCCTGACAAGTAATAAGTTGTAATACAGACACAACTGCAACCTTCTTGTGCCGTACTGAAATCACCTCTATTTCCCACAGAACAGCAAAAATCTACCGGGCGATAGACAAACAGTTTTCAGTGCTTTTCAGATCGTAGAATTTTGCTACAGATATAAAAATAATTTCTAAGGGGAGAAATTAATATTAAAGCAAATCATCTTTACCAATTGAAGAGTTTGTGATTTCCAAGTTCTTATCGAGGACAAATTGAACATCATTCTAAAAGAGATAACAAGTTTAGACACGGTTCTGGTTAATGAAAAATTTTTAATTATTAAGACACCAGAGCAGAGCCAAAGGCTACCTGTAGTGACTGAAACACTGTTTTTATATGTGGTCTATAAACGTCAACGTCCTTTGATAATTTGCTGATTGGGCAGGAAAAAGGACCGAAAAAACAGAATAAACGCTTCAGAAGTAAACAGTGTGGTCTGAAACTGTAATTGATTAGAAGTGAATCTTAAACCTCTTATCAAGCTGTTCTTTGATCGCGTGATAAAAAGCCCCTATTTTTGGTGTCCAGGTCCGCCTACTACCAGTGCGCGTTAAATACATAATTAATTATTTTACAGGAAACGTTGTAGAAAATATCAAGACCGCTTTTGGTAACTGAGAGCTGTAGCAAATGCTTTAGGTAGTAAACGTTTCTTGTAAATCAACGGTAGGTGAGTTGGGGCTATAGTAAGTAATGAATGGTTGTAGTGAATCCAACTGGAGTAGGAAATCCTCACTAGGTTACTGAGGGGTTGTGCGGAAATGCCAAATACACATGCTGTCCATAAGGTATTCTATATTAATAATTTATTGAAAAAGAATGGTTAAACAATTCTTGAGAAGGTTGTACGATGGGGTTTCACTATATGAGCAAACTGCTTCTTGGGGCAGTTATCAGTTTTTTAAAAGAAATATTACGCTGCTTTAGCAGACAGTTTAAATACTTCACTGATTATCGACCAGAAGTTAATAGCGGTTAACTGGACCACCAAAACAAATCTTTAAAAGCTTTTGTTTCTTGCATCAGCCCTTTGCCCAAGCAAAGTGTTCTGGAGAAGGGCTATCCTTTCAAACATTAACTACCAAAAATCTGCAATGAGAGTTTATTGTTATATATCTATTGCTATCGACTTCTGGCTGACAATCAACAAATTGGCTGACTTAACAATTCAACTGAAAAAAAAAAGGATCATAAAAATGAAGGTTGGCATATCATAATAGGAGTGCTTACTGTCTGGAGTTGGAGGACACATGAAACAAAGCCACTTTTAAGGATATTTTACCTTGAAATCGGCAATAACTAAAGCAATCTTGTCCTCAGGAGTCCAGCTAACACCAAGTCTTTCAGCTACTGTCCAGTGCTCAATGGAATCCACAAGAAAAAAATTCACCGATCGGTTACTAGTGCAACCTGCCCCAGTGAACTTGCTTACTGGGTCCATTGCTCCACAGTTGTCATTAGGGATAGAAGATCCTTTCAATTTGGGGGTAACAGAATTAATCAACTCATCAAAAATACCACTCACGCTGTCATCCATTTGCGTTCGTGTTTCTTGCTGCGGAAACTCCCCTTGTCGAAGGTACGACAAAACTTTAGTGCTTTCTCCCATCTCGGGAGTGCAGCAGATACTTGAAACAATACGTACAAAATAGGGGGGTCTAAAGGAGCTGCAGCCATAACCAAAAGAGGATAATGATGACAAAATATGATCTCTAACAGAAAACGGTAGTCTGAAGGTGTTCGTTTCTATACGGAGGCCGCGCTCAGGACGTGTGTGGCATAGATTACAGATACTAAAGCTCTTCCTCTGCAAGGGGTGATCCGATATTTTAACTTTAAATGACTGGCAATTCCAATGTATCCGTTGATGTAGTGATCTGAGAACATTGAACTCTCCCTGGTCAATACTGTTGACAGTGAGTGGCCCTTTCTGGTACATAGTTCTTGTAGTTAGTTGGTCTACATTTAATTGTATTGATTCCACTACAGTGCTGTATATTCTAATGGCTCCTTTAGAATGTTTAGAGGAGCTATTTACTTTACGTGAAGCGACGTCGCATGAGCCGTTAAAATACTGACTTGCTGCGTGAATATACTGCAATAAGAAAAAACACTATTACTCAAACCATAAGCGCAAACAAAATCTCCCCTCTACATACATAAATACTTATGGCCAATCTTACAACACCGTGCCGGGGACTTTTCCAGATTGCTTGTAGCAGTTTACAATGAATAAAGGCAAATCTAACAGATGCCCCCAATTTCTAGTAAACGGGCTAGACCACAACAACGGGAGCTACGTTCCCTACTCTTTGCGATAAGTGTGTGGATTCTTTAACGTCCCCTGCTAACCGGTACAGAGAAGATGCAGGAGACAGGGCCTACGGTTTTTCTTCCTTATCCAAGAAAACTAGAATGTCTAACCATTTGCAGATATCATAGCAAAGGCAGCACATTCTCCTCTGTTATTTTAAGACCCAGAGTATTGGTTCGGTCTGGGGGTTGAATCCTCGACCTCCCGCAAGGCAGTCCGGCGCTCAACAACACTGATGAGCTAACCCTCTAAGTCACGAATATTATACCTTCTAACATACAAATATTATACCCTCTAACACACAAATATTATACCCTCTAACACACAAATATTATACCCTCTAACACACAGTTATTGTAAAGTGCGAAAAGACTGGCGTAGCTGGGTCCCATTTTGGTACCCATGGCTACACCATTGATTTTTTTATAACAACTGTCCCGGTATAAAAAAATATCTGATTGTTAACACTGGTTCAGCTAAGCAGAGTAGTGTCTCTTGACAGTGCCTTTATCGAAAAAAATGTTGGAGGGCTGTTGGAGGGCACGTTACCGTGTTCAGTACCTATGGCGTAGCTCCACCGTTCCTTATTTACACAACCCACAACACTTCGATAAGCTTTGACAAAAGGCTAACATTTGAAACCTCAGCTTAGAGTACCCAGCTACGAAGACCAAGTCACATCAACTCCGAGTTGATAAAACCAAATTATCAAGAAACGTAAGTCGATCGTGATTAGTCGGTGTCAATCCGTCGGTAATGTTAGGGTGTTCAGTTCGTTTTTTTGATGTGTACATGTCGTTTATAAGTTGTTAAAATGGTGTTTTTATATTGTTGAGATCTATTGAGTGGAGCCTGCTCTAAATTTGTAATTAACTTTAGCTACCCAGATTGAGTCAGTCGTTGAAAGTGATTAGTGCTGTGGGCTGCCAGAGCCTGGTGGTTTGTTTGTTGCAAGTCTCGACGACTTGTTAAGGTCCTGTGTTAAAACAGTATTATTTGAGAAGGGATACATAAAATGAACCTACCGTGTGCTGCAGATGCTCATTTACTGTGTTCATGTTAAGTTTCAATGGAAGGAAAAGAATAAGAGCTGGTCCTTTACTGAGATGATGCACGAGACTCTTTTTTGTTGCTGTAGTAGGTGTAAGTTGAACCACAAGCTGAAGAGGAAAAGAGACCCAAGAGAAGCAATTGCTTTAACTCTTTTAGTTGAATTACAGTAAACCTTTTAATAGGAAAAAGCTCCAAATCATTCTTGCAGACGGAGTATTTTGAAAAATATCTCTTTAGGCCGGTTGCAAGAATTTCACAGGTGGAATTCAATAATTATATTTTCTTTGGAAAGATTTCAGAACCATAACAAAAAACTGGAAGGGCAAAAACAACCTCTGATTGTAATTGCTTTTCTCCTAGTGTTTAAAGAATCTTACCTGCAACAAATGCAAATACTGTTACAGAAGTGCAACTCAGTAGCTGCATTTACTGTGGATTAACTATGGTTCTTCTTTTATTAGCCCATCAACATTCTATCGTTTTGATCATTTTCAGGGTTTGTTTCCTTGTAGCTAGGCCTGTTCCAAGCGTTCAGGCAGTAAAACAGAGCGATACAGTGGGGGCAGATTGACAAACCCAACCCAAACCTCCCTGGTCTTTTGGCTTTGCCGCTACTATTGCACCGTTTACTATAATTGTGCTTTGTTTTACAAACTGAACACCGTATAAGTATAAGATTAGAGGTATTCAGATCGCGTTTCTCTTACCTCACATCTGTTTGCATTAATCCAGTTAGTGAGGTTTTCCTTTGAGAAGTTGTAATTTGATGGATATTTCTGATATTAGAAACAGCACAATTTCACATACCTTTGAAAATAGAGTTTCCTTATTTTGATAATTTAAAGAGCTAACAAGAATGTTAAGGATTTTTTAAAAATGTTCTTTAACAATCAGGGAGCCATTGTGTTTACAAAATAAATTCTACCATGCCAATATAATTGGTTAATTTGAAAATGATTAAATCTAAAACTGATTCTTTTTAGTTGTAGTTTGTTGTTCTTGAGGTTATTCTTCTTCTCCTTTTTTTCTTGCCAGCAAAGATGCTAGACTTAGTGTAAAACACAATTATCTCATTATCTTATAATATCCTCCAGCACTACAATTAAACTCATTAAAACGTTGTATTTTAGGGTGATAGGAAAAAAACTGTCTAGATGGTATTTACCACCTTTTTTAAAGTTGACTTGGAATCTCTATATCTTACCTCCACCTGGTTACCCAATCCATTGCCAAGATTCAAAAATTAGTCCTAGAAATATTTCTTTTTTGACTTTTCAAGACAATGTATATACGTTTTAAAGGCAATATGATTGTAATTCTGTCAACAAGAATATCCAATTCAGGGATTGATCCGCAAAGTAAAAAGAGAGATAAGCAGGGCTGTGGTCTAGCAGTGCCCAGTGGCCCCTGGCACCTTACTTTAATTTGCTCTTAGGCGACTCAGGAATCATAGTTTTTTCATACAAAGCATATGCTGGGCACCTTGGATTTCACAGTTTCAGAGCACTGGGCTCCCTTCAACTTTTCTTAGAGCACAGCCTTGGATAAGGAAAGATATGATAGATCTGATGATACCACTTGGCAAATGTTTGAACTTAATAATCATATCAATGGTTGTAAGTTAAATAGACTAAATAAGCCTTTCAATACAATACAAAGAATTAACCTTGGAGGGGAAAAATAATAGTGCATAATGCACTATATCAAACATATCAAAATGGCTATTTTTTAGTCTCCCTTTTTTTTATAACAAAATTACTATTAATAAAAATAAATTTCGAATATCAAACTCACCATAACAGCCTTGTTATGGCAATGGTAAGACACTCCACTGTTATCAGCTTCTGCATCAGAAGCAAGCTTGCCATTTGTCAAAACAAGGAACAAAGGCTTGGACTCTAGAAATTACAAACCATCTTAAGTAACCTATATGAAGGGTTTTCCCTGTCATTATTGCTGTACATAAGCTTAAGCAGCAAGCCAGTTACACTGCAACCACCCATCAGATCAGTAAAAAAAAGCACTGTAAAAATCAGTACTTCTGTGCTGCATTACCAGAGAAGTTGTGTCCAATTATACTCTATGATAGAAAATCAACCAGCTACAATCAAACCTTTACTGAGTAGTCACCCTTGATAAATGGCTACATGGCCACTAATTAGTAGGGGGCTGACCATTTAAAACAGCTTGACACAAATTTAGATCTAGTGGTATGGCAAAAGTACATCAGTGAAACAAAATTGATCAAGAAATCTAAAGTTCATAACATTTTTGACAACAACACTGGACATGTTCTATAATTTACGAGAGCAATTTGAAAAGAGAATGGTTTCAAAAACCTTATTTCATTAGTTATGACATGTTAATGCAGATGAAGTTGCTAAACAGTATGTATATGTTATTCACCAGCCTGGAGGTCTGTATTGGGAAAAACCAGGCCCAAGGTCTTGGATATCACCCACAGCTGTAGTCTGAGGGCATTACTCAAGACAGACATGGACCAACCTAGGCTGGTGAATAACATTTTTATTTTTTTTCTTACACTTGACAAAATGCATGCTAAAACAACCAAAAAGATTTAGGGCTAGAAATAAACTGACCATTTTTTAGTACATAGATGAGAAAGATGAAGAAGATAAACAGAGATCATGATTAAAGAGAGGGGCTTCACCAAAACATTTTTATTTACGTAATTGGAATGGTAACTTAAAAGGCTTCCAAGTACTAAACTTTGAAGCATTTTTTTGATAAGTATCTGTCATGATCTAACACCAGTAAATGGAGAAGACAAAAAAGTGCATAATATACACTTTTGAATGAACAACAGTATGGCTTGGCAAACACACAAAAGTTAAATGACTAATTAAAAGTGAAAATCTTAAAAAACTCAAAAAAACATTGATAAAAAACACTCTGAGATCTTACTGAAAGTATTGTTCATCACCCATGACGATTATTCTTCCACAAATTACCTCTGTTCAGTTTTAAATGCCATGGAAGGTCAAGTTTCAAGTGAATTCAAATGTGTGCCCTGAAGCTGTGAGAGTCTGCACTTTTGTTTTCTACAATGGCATGTATAAATTTTGTATTTCTTCTGCTGAAAAACTGAAATCAAATGCAACGCTTTTTCTAGCTAGACGTGAGGAGACTTACTGCGACTTTCACTCATCAAATATTTTCAGTTTCTGTTAGAAAAAATAAATTAATTGATGGTAGAAATGTCCAAATTTAAGGGACTCGCAAAATCTAGAAGAAAGAGATTTTATTAAAGATCTCAAAACTTAGCTCAGCATTTCACAAACAAACAAACTGTTTTGGAGAATTCAATAGAAGTAATGTCTTCAATCTATCCAAACACACCTTTTGCACTAAAATGCAATGTCAAACTGAAGAATATGCTGTATCTTGCACTGTCAATTGCTGTCTGGTTGAAATAAACTATGATCAGCTCCTAGATAGAAATAATCATTAGTGAGTGATAGAAAGGTGTTTTAGAATCAAAGAATTTAGTGAAGTTAATAATAGTGGCCTACTAACTGCCAACTAAGGAAAAAACACTAAAAGAATTTTAATTGGAGGGGGGGTGGGGACTTTAGACTCTCATGAGATCTTTTGTCAATCTGCATGATAAAAACTCTTAAATGTTCTACTTTGGGGTGTTTGAACAGTTACAACAATATCTAACTTCAAATCTTCATGGCCTTTCTCCAAGTCAGTAAACTAATTTTTACTACCATAAAAACACTCTTTTCAAACTGTCTCTTTGAAAAAAGAAGGTTTGAATGAATGTGATATTGTTCACTCCCCCGTACTTTAACTTTCCCCTTTCCCATGCCTCTTTTCTTGTAGAGAGAAGCATGTAAGAGCAATACAGTATTGTTTGTATATTACCTGGCTTTGCTTTGCCCAAGTAAGTTCTGCTTTGGTACCTATGTACATAAATGGTCTGATCACAGATTGAAGAAATGCAACCTGTAATGAAGTTGTTTCACTTAATCAAACAATTACCAATTCAAGCTGAAAAATTGTAAGGTTTTCATTAACTAATAGTAGTGGTAGTAATTAATGGATGGTGTTGCATGGATACCATGAAAACACTAAGCACAAGTACAGGTTGTTTTGTATGAAAAAAATGGCAACAGATTCCTGGTATTTCCCAACCAAAACAAAATTGATGTTGCTGAACAGGAATCAAAATGCCTGACATCAATTAATGGACTCAAAATATTGTTAAAATTGGCTAAGACTCCAATGACAGTTTTTAGTGTCTAGAACCTTGAAACAGACCTACACATGCATCTAAATTTAGGAAAACATTTTTACCGAAAGAAATCTTTATGTTGTAAGTCAGACAAAAGTATGTATCATCTTTCTATAAAGCTCAGAAATTACTGAAATTATCGATAGAGGACTGGAGAAATCATGCCTACAATTTCTTTAATTCCCCAAGTGATTACTATATCAAAACATTCTTTGAAAATGGTCATTAGATTAGCGTATTGCTGAAGTAGATTTTCTTTGTTAGACTTGCTTTCAGCAAATTAACCATATGTGAGACTGGAACAGGAACTAACTTTGTGTTACAAAGTTATGTTACACAAACTAATGTCACCTGATCATTGGTCAGGAACGTCCATAAAGAAAGGGTTGTTAAGTTTATAATTAAGGCATGTACAGTGTTTGCTCCCCTGGACCAAGATTTAGTGTCTATGTTCCCACTGGAGAGGTCTGTTGCAAAGAAAATATATTAGGACATTGTAGCTGTCTGTAATGGAGAGGTGTCTCAATCATAGATGCATTGTTGAAAGAGGAAGAGGTTCAACTGTACACTGTATGTACACTGTACCAAGCCAGATATTCACAACATTGCTACAACTTGCTTTTAAAAATTAATCTGAACCTATAGGCAGGTGACACTTTGAGCATAATTGCATTAATTTAGTAAGTACTACTCACCATTTTGAAAGCTTTGAGAACTCCTCTGTACTCCACTCCATGAAAATGTGAGTGGATTGCTACTAATTTTGGATACAAATCAATTTTTTGATGTAGAGAACAAGTGCCTAACCAGCAATTAATGGCGATGAAGGATACCTGTAAATAAATGATGGTTACAACTGGCAACTTTCCAGTTTCTGTGGTTCACACAAAATTTCTTTTTTGTCCAAACATTTACCTTATGTAGGCCAAATTAACTCTCTGTGTTTTTCAAATGTAACTCATTTTACACTAAGTGAAAAACTTTCAATTTAGATAGCTAAATCTTAGAATAGAGATATTGTAGAGTAAGTTATTGCACAATTAGTTCTTTTCATATTTCAGCATACTTCATGAAAATGTAGTTGCCCCTCCAGCGCCCCTCTGGATATCAGCCTCGTTGCTGAATGGGCCACCCTGGCTAAATAAAGTCTACCTACCTATGTTGTTTAGATTTTAAATTGGGCATCTGTAACCATATGTCCCTTGTGGAAATTGGCTTAGTTGACAAGGTAAGCGTGTGTCAAATAAACTACAGCTTAACTTAACCAAGTACAACTACAGAACTTCCACGAAACATACTAACAGTCATATGTGTCTCAACTGAAGGTTGGTGTTCAGAGAAGAATACTTCTTGAACAGACAGCTTACCTCTCTATGAAGCATTTCAGCAGTATCATTGAACTCTTTGGCTGCAATCCATGACTGACCACACCAGGGTGCATAAAATAGTACAAAAGTAATCTTGTCTTTTCTAAGCAAGACTTTGAATGCCTCCATGGAACCATTTGATATTTCAATAACTTTTCCAGTATTTGAAAAAAATTTGCGGGATTTAGAAGGTTGCAAAAAGTTTGCATCTCCACTAGAAACAAGAACATAAGGTGAAGATTATGTAAAATTTTGATAAATGTAAAAACCGCATATAGTCAATCACTGAATGACTAACTAACTGACCGACAGGTCTACCAGCCAAGGATCAGTGATCAAATGATAACGATGACTGTATTTTCAAAAGAGTGTGTTCAAGATGGTCTATTTTTGTGTGCATCTGAAACTTGAATTCTATCAAATGAGTGTTTTTACAAATAAGATAACTATCTGGTGTGAAGAAATAGCTATGAATAATAGTTGGGAGCTTACTTGTCAAAAAACCACGAACATCTAGATAATAACAACTGTGAAATTCCATGAATGAGTAGAAACTGATATTTAAACAACATCACGGTAGCATTTTCTCTTGTTAGATCGTTGTGTTTTTGCGGACTGTAACTCTCCCCGCCATCTTGAAAATCTCGAGCCCAAAGTATTTTGTATTGTTTGTCAGCGGTTAATCCAACGGGGGAACGATCTTGTCCCCAGGTTATTCTCGGTCAATGTCTCGAGATGGTCCAGACTCGGCTTGTAACAGCCCCTTATTCAGTGGTAGCGATTTAAGGGCGGGCGAATGACGAACGGTGCTTTTAGTTGCCTGAGAAACGACTACTATCTAATTATTTAAGTTGTTTTAGAGTTCCTTGAAAAAATAAATCACTTGCTATGCAGGCAAGAGATATTTTTTGGGATAGGTGGGTTTTAGTGGGACACTCAATGTAATTGCAGACTACCCAACAGGTGTAACAGACAAGGCAAACTCCCTGTATGTGAAGAAATGTATTGTGGTTGCGATTAAACAGCTGAAAAATAAGATAAAATTAACACTCTATATCTATAAAGTGAATGAAATGTTAATGTACCTAGGTGTAGCATTTTTTTGCCTGGGCCTTGCGGGCTGGTTAAAATGTCTCTATTGTATCATTTCCAAACACCACTTCAAACTGAAATTAAGGCCAAAATATTAAAGATCTCACCAATCTGGTGACCTCTAATCAATGAGGTAGCCAAATTATAGCTTCAGTTCTCCAGTAGTTTCCCAGAAAATCAAAATTACTGCTTCCTGAATTTTCTGCTTCCTGATGCCAACTGTAGTGATCACAGAAATTTGAGCATTTGTTAGCCCACAAAACCTAACTGAGAGGGTGTTGCTCACACCAATCATTCTTAAGGGTATTTTGCTAGTACAGATGATGCTGCATATGTTGCTAACATGGATTTGAATTCATAAGGGTATAATTCTGGCACTTATCAAACTTAACAACATTGATGTCTACATCATAACCAAAGGTATTTAATTATAGAGTAGGTGATGTGAAGTTGAAATTATGAATACAATCCATAGCATACAAAGTACTTATGGTTGTTAACTTACATATATCTGTAAAGAACACTGTTATATGAATTAAGGCCCAACTGAGAAATGATGGGTTTCTCACTATCAATGTAAGAGATTAATAGGTTTCCTAGAAAAACAAGATTAAGGATCACAGGATCAAGGAACAAGGATCACTGGATCACCAATCAAGGATCACTTGATCAAGGATCAGTTCAAAATAAATAAATTAAATTAAATAAATTAACAGGCATGATTGATTGCTTATCTACGTGACTCAGTCAAGATCTCCTGTATGCTAAAGCAAAAATAAAAGAAAATACTAAAATACTGAAAAAGCCATAACACTTTGTGGAAGTGTCACTTTTTGCCTACTGACTATTAGGACTGTTATTGAAGATTGACAACTACAGAGCGGGTTTAGTTCTAAATTATCCTGAGTGTCGGTAGGTGATTGCATCTCTGACTTCCAGTGCAATTTCAAAGCACGAAGCCGCTTTTGGCGACTGGGAATTATTTGTTAGATCAACCAAGCTTGCGTGAAAATGCAAAGAATTGGAAAATAGTGATTTTGTCATCCATTGGCCGTGTCTACAAATGTCTCAGTGCAAAAGAAAGGTTTGTGTGAATGACAAAAAAAACGTTCTCTTTGTTAAAGCTATTGAGAAACAGAGAAACGGCAAACATCGTCCTTTATTTTGTTGGAAGTGATCAAGTGTGGGACTAAAGTTTCTGCCTGCTGTGCTTACTGGTGACAGAAAAAAGAAAAAACAATTCTTCCTTGTTAGTTGTCAGGTACTTTCTTAAAAAAAATCATGTAAGACTAAGAACTGATTCAATCCCTAGTGTGTGTCCATGAGATGTTTGACCTGTTGCCTCCATGTATACTCTAGGGGACTCACAACAACTCAGTGGAGCAATATAATCTTATCACTTTCCGAATCATGTCTCCTGTCAAATCCCGTCGGAAAAAACAACTGAAATGTCTTCTTCAAAGCAAGGGATTCTTCAGATGCATTCCATCTGCTTTTCCTTTAAGTATATGAGGTCAGTGAAAATTTGAAGAGATGAAGTTAAAGCAGCTGAAAATTTGCAGTTTACTCCGGCAGTCGCCAAAAGTGGCTTCGTGTTTTGAAATTGCACCGGAAGTCAGAGATGCAATCACCCACCAACACTCAGGATAATTTAGAAATTTCATGTGAATATCGCATATGCACAAGTAAACCCACTCTATAGCTGTCAGTCTTCAATAGCAGTCCTAATAGTCGGTAGGTGAAAATTGACACTTCCACAAAGTGGTATGGCTTTTTCAGTATTTAGTATTTTCTCTTATTTTCGCTTTAGCATATGGGAGATCTTGACTGAGTCATGTAGACGAGCAATCAATCATGCCCATTAATTTATTTTTGAACTGATCCTTTGATCTTTGATCCTTGATCTGGTGATCCAGTGATCCTTGATCTTGTTTTTCCAGGAAAATGAGATTAATGGAGCATAGGACTGTGCCCTGCAATACCTCAGATTCTACTTGTTCTGCAGATGAATAGTCATGGTGAGTTGCAAATTCAACTGCTTCTTAAAATATGCTAGTGGATGCTAAATTGTTCTGCAAACACGCTCCTGTAGCCAGAACTTTTTAGACAGTACAAACCTCTGAAAAACTGCTAAGATATTCGTCTTTAATTGCCTACGAGTCCATACTTTTAAACTAGATCTAAATGTTTATTATAAGATTGGACTTAATTATGAGACAAAAATAAACCAAATATTTTAGTACATTTCAACTTTTTACACCGTGCTTATAAACATAAGATATAAACTTCAAAACGATTTGGTAATTTTTGTGGATTAATAAAAATTATCATAACTTACAACAAGATGGATTACCTTTACCTAAAAACGTCCAACTTATTCATTTTTATTAAAGTAAATGCCCTTGCAACATGGTAAACTAACAAAGTTTTTCTGGAGAATTTCTGCCCTGGTTCAACAAGGTACAGTTAAAATTTAATGGCTGCTTCTATGCAGCTTGATTCAATGAAAGTCAACAGTTTCTCTCGCTTCTCATGTGCTGTGTTTTTTATATAAATATGTCTTACATCGGTAAATCCAATCAAGCCAAATATATCCTTTAAGTAAGGAACCTGATAGTCAAGCGCCTTCATCTGGCCTGTAGAATAGTCACCACCGGAGGAGGTTATAAGTAATAACGGTCTGTTGGTCAATAGACCTTGTGGACCACTAGATGTCTCCCTGAAGGTCAATCCAGGTTGAACAACACAATCAATATACTGTTTCAAAACATATGGGATGCTATAATTCCACATTGGACACGACACAACCAGCTTATCTGCCGAAAATAAAGTTTTGATCATCCTTTCCACTGGTTCAAAATTCACTTTGTCTGATGGTTCATCTTGACCACTCACCATTCGCATTTTGCTGGCCACGTGTGATAAATCATACTGTAAAAGTTCCTTATCCCAAAGGTTTATATCTCTAACGGTATGATCGACATTCTTTGATTTGTAGGCAGCCAGGAATGTTCTTGAAGCTATCCCAGTGTATGATCTCTCATCTGAACCTGATGAGTTTAAATGAAGTATCTGTACGCGGCCATTCATTTGATGTAAATGATCACTTGATTTGACTTCACCCTCAAAAGCAGAGATGTAAGAACAGTGTCTAACAGGTGCAGCCCTAAGCACACTCCTGAAGAAAAGTAGACCGTGCTCGACGTAAGAAGAAAGAGCTAAGGTAACCGTATTCAAAACCATAATTCAATCACACCAAATTACGCGGGCGCCCGAGCGGCGGGGGTTCAGCGGTAGGATGACACCTCGCCCCACGGGTTTCTTGGTCAGTTTAAAGACAACGGCACTCTATACTTTAAAATGACACTTTCTTACATGAAATTTCATGGAATCTTTCACTAGTTACAAGCTTTTTACTTGTTTTTTAGGGKGGGGGGTTCGCTCAGGTTTTTCCAAAATAGCGGGTAATGGCGGCCAGTCTCCATCCTGGGGACAAGGTCAGCGTTCGACCGAGAAACCCTTGAGCCCGTGGAGCAATATAGCACTGATATTCCCATCATCCTTGAGGGTAGTTGTCAGAGATCTCAAAATGGCGACCAACATGTGTCGACGTCTGGGTAGAAGTCTCCTTTATCACCCTTTAGTTCGGAGACAGCACACACGCTTTGTATGCTTTTCACCACAGGTAGTCTTTGCTACTTTCAAGTACCTGCAGAATCCATTTCCTGGAATTCACTCCTCTGAAAGAAAGCGATATAATCCTATGGGTGTTCGCACGCTCGCTGACGCAGGAACGGCATTGACGAGAGACGAAATTCAGACACGGGCGATGGATGTTTTAAAACTTTTTGATAAAGTGGAGGCTGAAAAGGTGAATGTTGCATATTTTATTGAAGTTATGTCGGGTAGATCACACTGAAGTATTTTCGCCAAGAGCAACGTGAAAGAATTAGGAAGCGCCTACTTATCTGTTTCCCAATTGAGACATTGAGAGAAGATAAATTTATCTTTTTAGACGTTTGGTTTTGTAGTATCACTGAGTATTTTTATGAGTTGTGCCGTATTTTGACGAGCCCGTAGGGCAAACAATTCATAAGAATACTCAGTGATAATATACAACAAAACATCTAATAAAAGATTTATTATCCAACATGCCAAATTGTTATTTCAGTGCAGGCGAATTTCGCAGATACTTCTGGAGTACAAGTGACATTTGTACTCCAGAAATATGCACAAAATTCGCCTGCACTGAAAGATAGATAGTGGGTAATGGCGGCCAGTCTAAATGAAGGGCAAATGACATTTGTACTCATCTTGTGCATTATTTTTATTACCCTATGAAGCACAGTTGCATAATAATGTCATTAACTTACCAGACGTATTTTTTTATGTATGAAATTAGCTTAGTGTGCATGAGAACAGGTTGCTTCTTAAAGTATGAAAATCATCTGTTGCCCTAACTATTATCTGGATTCAGAAGTTGCAAAATGAAACTGATATGAAAATGATGACGCTTCTCCTGATCCATTCATCTGTAGTGAAACATCATAGCCTGGTTGTGGTGGTTAAAATTACAAATTAACAATTATTCGATGAGGTTGGGGATGATAGGGATAATTATCAAGGCTAAAGTTTGTGTTATCAGCTGGAGCCGAAGGCTGACGCAGATAATGCAAACTGAGGCCTTGCTAATTATTGTTATCATGCAAAAATTGAATCTAAAATTGTTTTATCATGCATATTCCTGAGCTGTACTTGTCAAGACAAGAGCATGCAAAACTATTGTGTGTAGTTATGATGTCACTTATGAAATGTATTGTCTTCAGGTAAGATACCAAAGACCTTCAATGGCCAATATTTTGGACATATCTTTTTCATTGGCCCCGGCCGGACCAACACTCAAGGTCTTAAAATAATTGAGAAGAATATGCCACCTTTCTATAACATCAAGAAATGGTTAGATATTCTAGTCTTCTCGGATAGGGACGAATAAATGGAGGTCCCGTCTCCTGTAGGGTTAGCGGTAGGAGACGTTAATTTCCTACGCGCGAGATTACTGTGTGATGGATGTCCTCCCCTGGGCTGGGATGGGTGGGTTTGCTGGGCCCACAGTAATTGGCACAAGCTGTTGTGGTGTCGCTGCTTGTCGGCGAAGCTAATAAACTAAACTAATATCAAACTAAGCACTGTTATTTCAACTAAGTTTCCAAGAAAAATTGTCGTTGAAGCAAGCTGAAGTTATAGACAAAAACTTATCTTGAACTGAACTTCAAAGCCCACTAATGTGCAAATAGCCAAAGAGCCACCATAGATGACTCCCTGAGTATTTTTTGTGGCAAAACGTTGTAGTTCTTGAATTTCAGTTGTGTGAACATCTCCCAATTTTTGTTGCACATAGTGATCTTGTTACCTGTGAGTGTCTAAAACTAGATAATGAATGGGGAGAGATAAAAAGGATAAGAGTCCTTGGGTAATGGTAGAAGGGAAGTCTGGCTGTAAGCATAAGAAATTAATGAAATTTGATGACCAGAATGGCAAAAAAAATGTCACTGAAATAGATACAGGATTGTTGTTGAAGCAATTTATACTTTTTGCACCCAACCAGCAACCATTAATGAATTCTGCCATTGCCTGCTTAGAAAAAAAACAATTGAAATCAAAATTGCTGGCAGGTAATTGAACTAAGGTCGGTTAGAGGTGCAAGGACCTCTGCTGTACCTGGTGGGAGTCCCAGCTGTCCTTGATCCCCCCTTTTTTATGTAAAACACAGCAAGGATGTTGACCTGACCTGACAATCTGGTGAGCAACCTCTGTATGACACAGTGTGAACCCCCCCATGGAAAAATCCTGGCTATGCCCCTGGGGTTAACATGTTTTTGCTGCGAGTCTCCTTGCTGACGTCAATTGGGATGCCTCTGAGTTTCTATTGGCCATTGGCATTTCCAGTTTTTGGGTTGTTGATATGCTTGATTTGTGGTCACCTAGAGGTGTGAAATTGTGTCAAAACTTGGAAAGTGAAAAACCCTACTTCATTTTTCTTTTCATTTTTCTTGTTTTCTTTTGCACAGGTCTCAAGTAAGAGTCACTTTGTCACTGATCTTGGGTTGGACAGTTTGGATGTAGTGGAAATTGTCATGGCACTAGAAGATGAATTTGGTAAGTGAATTTGCTTTTCTGGAGAATATAGACTTCAGTTCAAATGTTTGGTGGAGGTGACTTTTTCCTGGCATCATGTTATTGTTTGACTCGAGTTTCTCTCTCCTCCTAGAGTCGGTGAATAACCCTAATAGGTTACAATTTAATGCTGGCATCAGTTATTAATCTTCCATGTTTGTCTCCAATTCGTTAATTACATCACATACACTATATATTAGAGGGAATCCAAGCACTGTTGACTCATAATTTCATTGAACTTCAAAGGAAAATAGAAAAAATGTTCACATTATCAGGAGTTTCAGTTGTTGAAAGAAAAGATCAAATGACTGGAAATAAGGGAAAAATGGTGTTTCTTAGTATTTCCATTCATACAGTGTTACATGTACACATCTTCTGGCAAAGTCAAGTGAATAGAATGGCAAAGTTAAATGAAAATGAAACATTTGAAAGGAATAGAGTGGAGATTTTTAAAAATGCAATGTACCATACAGTGGTTAACTTTGCCCTAAAGCAGCAAACCCTGATCTAGACTTTCTCAGTTTCTTTTTTTTTTTTTTTGGAAACTTCCTTTTGAAAAGCTAGTACCCATAAAGCTATCTGGTGGGTAGGTAAGTTAGTCTGTGACTTTTAAAAGCTTGGGAACAATTTCATTGAATGAATGGCCTGATCCAACATTGATGGAACACATTAACAGACAAGAATAATTGTGTGGTTTTCTAACATAGTAAACTCTGCTCCTCATTACTGCTTATCTAATTTGATGCAGTTCAAAAACAATACTCATTCACAAATAGAGTGCATTTTAAAGTATATCTCCTCAACTTAGAACCTTTAGAGGTGTGCAGTCACTTAGGAGGAGAAGGAAACCTTGAAAACAAAGATCATTGCAGTACAATGAGACAAATAAGATAAACAAATGGACAATGCTGGAATATGGCTTGTGAAGGCAAAGACAATTTTGTGTCAAAATGAAAGGAGCAATCATTTTTCACCAATCACAATGCTGTCCATTGTGGGCAATTGCAGAAGATGAAAAGTGTAATGGTGTCCTTGCAGGGCCTCCTTAGTAGTGTCATTAGTAGTGCCAGACCCTCAGCAAACATGTCCTCAAATTGTCTTAAATCTTTAACAGAAAATTGGTTTCAGTGTACTTCACTTAACTAAGAAATACTTAAAGGTAACAGTTTCCTATGATCTGTAGCTAAGAAAACAAAAATGTGTTGCGGGTACAATTTGAAATCCTAGGATGTGGAACTTTACTTTGAACTAGCTGTTCGAGTAGTAATTAAAATAAAAAAAAAATTTGTCAGGGCTTGGTAGTTACCAGTATGGCTTTTTGACCAGAAAAGTTAACTTAAGAAATTGTGTGTTAAAAAAGCTTCTCTGAAAAGCATATAATAGTAATCAGGGAAGTAACCCTTTGTACATGTATAGGATTCTGATTATAGCTCTGTGTTCTGCTGATCTACCAGAAGATGATTGTGGTGTGACCACAGAGTACCTGTAAATGGAGGAATTAATTTTTTGCATCATTATCTCTAGGTATTGAAATTTCAGATGAAGAGGCTGAAAAGGTTTTCACTGTAGAAGATGCTGTAGAGTTCATATCCAAGGCACTGGATATACATTAACGTGAGCAGGGTACTCAGCTTAAGCCTTCAAATGGGATTTCACTGTGTCTACTTAAACTGACAGCTTCTCTTGAGAATTACCCATCTTTTTTTCATTATTGTGATTAGTGAAACTTTAAGTCAACAACTTTTTAATATAATTCCTATATTACAGTATTCTACCAAATGGTGAGGAGATTGGATGACTGTGTGCTTTGTGAAATTACAGTGGAAGACTCATGTATACTGCATCTCATTCATTTTAACCCAAGTTACTTGGTGTTTGTAAGCTCTCAGTTGGATTGGTAAAGCAAGTTTTATGTATGCTGCTCAGTATTAACAATGTGTCTTTTCTTGTCATTTCATTGTCGATTTAATAAACAGTGTTGGAGGGGAAAATGAAAATTATCAGAAGGGGTGGGGGGCTCAATTTAAATGGCCCCTTTTTGGTGGCAAGGTATTTTTAATGAATAAAACCAAAACATTTCTGCAAGTCAAGTCAAAAGTACTTATTAAACTGGCCACTCAACAGTTTAGTATGAATATAATGCCATATGTGTAAAATTGAGCAGATACAGTTTTCCCTAAATAACCCCTTGGTTGTCCCAATGGCTGATTTCATTTGAGATTTTTTAATTAATCAAGTCTTCCACAGGTATTTTTGTAACTAGTACGTGAGAGTTCAGTTATATCATTTAAACAGTCCAAGAACTGAACATTCTTCAAGGCTAAACTACTGCTTGAGCTACCCAAGTCAGTTAATTTGTTGCAATTCCTTCTGATAATGAAAACACCGTGAGGGGTTAGGACGAGGTCGCAACACTAACTATAAAGCCAATGAAGATATCAGAACTTTCCAAATAGTAAGTTAATCTGTGTACTTAGATTATGGCCGCCACCGAGGTGTATTCTAAAACCTTCCAAGTCTGCAACCTCCAAACATGACAAAATCATAGTTTTCATCTCCGTCTAATAGAGTACTCGAAGGAATATAACTTAAAATGTTAAGTAAAGCACACAATGTCATTGCAACAGAACACGATTTTAGATCAAAAGGATGCTAAGTGTGGTTCACGAAGAGTAAACGACATCCAATGTCATTACATTTGGGAAGCCACTGTATCCATTACTTCAAACAGAATGTCTGCATGATGTGGTGAAAAAGTTAATGTTGGTCTGAAGCGGATGCTAACTTCCCCACTCCCACCTCCCATCTCCACACCTGATGGAAAAAAATTGAGACAATAATGAGATCCTGACTGGAGTTTCTCTGTGAAGACAGGCAATCAATACAAAGATGTGCTGAGCCCTTCCTACCAAAGAAGATTTTAACACTGCCGTAACTATCAGGACAACAACTTCAGAAACTCTGTAATTTTCAGTTGACACTTAATCCAAGATCTTACCACTCTGCTACCATAACTTCACAAAGTAAAACTGTCAGAAAATTTTAATTACTTTTTATTTCTGAGAATATTTCGTTACGAATGTGTCAGCGCGATTTCTTTGTGGAGGAGTCCTAGTATGACATCTATGTCAAATATAGAGGTTTACCTGGTAGTTTTCTTCGAAAAAGAGGGAGAGAAGGTCAAAAGCACACTTGTAACCTAAAATGCTGAGCCTTTAGGTGAATTGAATACATACCATTGGCTTTCATCTTTGAAAGAAATTCTGCTTTAATATCTGCATCAGCGCAATCGATAGCACAAAATGTTCCTACACCACGGGCACGAGAAAACAATCCAGGATATTTTTCCTAAAGTATGAAAAATGTTGTGTTAACAACCTCAAAACTACTTATCGAAATTCACCCGTATGTAGTTACAAAAGAACATAATTATATCGTATTGGACGTTTTGTTGTGTAGTATCGCTGAATACTTTTACAAGTTGAGCCCGTAGAACGAGTCAAAACACAAACTTTCGCGGACACTTCTAGATTATAAATATTGCGTGATATTTGTACTCGTTTCGCGCGTTATTTGTACTCTACGAAGCACAGTTGGATAATAAACTAAGATATACATGTTAAGAAAATCTTAGACATACTTCAGACTTGATTTCTCCTTAGAAATTACTAATAATTGACAACCGTACATCGCAAGGCTACTCACTTTAATCACTATCAACACCGGAATAGACAGCAAGTAGAAAAACCAGTCAGATTGCAGCATTTGTGATAGAACACTAGTACATTTGTACCATTGATTTATATGATAAGCTGAGTAATTATCTAGTTGGCAGCGCTCATGAGCAATATGAAGCGAACCTTGTGTTCTGATTGGCTACCCGAGCGGGCAGGATGGGCCGGCCGCTCAGGATTGTCCGCTTTGATCCCGCGCAAGAAAAAAAGTGCAAGGAGCGGACTAACAAGGTTCGTAACTTTAACCCAACATCAGCGATAAAGTCGCAACAGTGGCAGAAGACATTCAAAACAAAGAAAAACATACAAAGTTATTTTTGATTCTGATTTTAAAGCGAAATCTTTTTGCTAAATAATGAATCCTTTATTGACCAAGCTTCTTCGGTCAGGATGGCTGGATATTTGCCTCGTTCCTTTTTTGCCTTTTTATGGACCGAGGCGAGTCAAGGTCCACAAAAACCGAAAAAAGAACTCAGCCAATATCCAGCCATCTTGACCTCACGCTTGGTCAATAAGCCATATCTATACACGCATTTTGATAGATTTTTTACTTATGATCTATTGAAGGACAAACGCAAAATTGACGTCACCATTCTAATAATGGCAGTTCTACCTTTAACCTTCAACTCCCAGAGGTGACTCACATGTAACTTATCCTTGCGATTCCACTTCTTTACCACGCTAACAGGTTATGGGAACAGACAAGTTTACTTCCTAGAGAGTGTTATCTTGATTTAGTACATACTAAACCAATGGAAAGCATAAAAGACACCTTCTGAATGGCTACTCAAACTCTGAAGTGGCTCTGCAGTGGTTTAAAAGCTACTTTTCTGTACGCCAGCAATTTGTCCAGTTCAATCAGCTTACTCTCCGATGCAAACCATCAAGTGTGGTGTCCCTCAAGGTTCGATTTTAGGCCCACTATTGTTTATTCTATACATTAATAACCTTCCTAATGCCTCTGAATTATCAGACCCTCTTTTTTTCGCTGATGATACCAGTATATTTTATTCTCACTCAAATCTAAATTGCTTAGAATCCATACTTAATGATGAACTCCAAAACATTGACGTTTGGCTAAAATGTAACAAGCTTTCAGTTAATATAAAGAAAACCAACTATATAATTTTTAAACCCAGACAGAAGAAATTTAACTCCAGCATTTCTCTCTCCTTTGGAGGTAAACCC